AAAAAAACAAAAACAACAACAACAACAAAGGCGAGCACTGGAGGACGCGGGACCCCCAGCGACGGGTGCTGTGCTATCCTCGGCGGCCGGGGGTCCAGCAGTGGAAATTGCCTGCTGTGTAGCGAACGTGGCTACTGTGCCGCCAGCTACACCAGTAGACCCTAGAGAGCAAACGACATCGGCGCCAATGGCTAAAGTGCCGTTGGAGTCCATGATCAATTACGGGGCCAGCACATCAACAGCAACGGGCCCAATCAGTGAGGAGGACCTATCGTCTGAGAAGTTGGGAAGTGATGGATGCTCACAAATATCGATGCTCTCAGATGAAAAACGGGAGAGTAGTGTTATAGAGCCGTTAATGCAGAAGAGGGACGCTGGTACCTCTGAGAGGGTGAAAATATGTGGTGCAGCGAAGAAGCGCTTTAAAAGGCTGCTGGACCAAGGGGTTAGCATAGGTGAAGCCAGGAAGCTTTGCTTGAACCCTAATGGTTCAAAAAAAGAAACAGATCTGACGGCTCTCTGGAAAGGCAGCAAGCTGATCTGAAAAATCCAAGTTGGAAGTGAAGTCGGGGAACAAAGATTCCCAGGACAGCCTGTCTTAAAGATAAAACCTTCAAAGGAACTCCTGGCGGGGCCAATACGGTTGGGGGGCAATAGGTCACTCAATTTGAAAACCGACCAGAAAAAGTCAACAACAAGTGACAAAACAACTAGAACCAGCAACTCAGGGAAGGACCGGCGGGCTAACAGTGACTAACAGTGCCACAGTAAGGGCCAAGCGGGGACAGCCGAGTTATAAGGAAGTTGCGAGAAGCGTCAGGATTGGAGTCCTTGACGAGAGCTTCCCAGACGTCCTGCTGGAAAACAACCAGATGCTCCTCATTCAAAAAGAAATAATGGAGCGCATCTTTAAACAAAGATATCAAAGCGTGAAGCTGCAGTTTTTTGAAAAGCTCGTTCCAAATAGGGTGGCTTCTACTAGGCTGTCAGGACCAAGGGGCTGCAGACTGGCTCAAAGCGGAGATCAAAAGCATAGCTCTCTGGGAGGCAGCAAAACTGAAGGCAGTAGAGGAGGAACACATTCCTAGGGCTAAGGTGTTTAGAGGTTTCTTCCCCTATACTGCCGAATTATCGACTGTGAAATTCCTGGGCTACGTCGGGGGCCAAAACTCTGGACTGCCGAGAGACCAGTGGAGACCAGTGGAGAATCATTGGGAAGGACGCTGTCGGGAGTCGAACCTTGCTGACGATCTCAGTCGGTCTTCTTTCGGCCACCAGATTACGGGAGCTGGACTATACCATAAGCTACCGCTTTGGAAAGGTCCAGCTGCGCCAGCGAGGGAGGAAAGAAGAGAGAAAGGGCACGATAGGAAGGGTCACTCTGCAGCCGAAACGGCGGTGGTAGTACATCAGCCAATGGATCAGCATGGGGCTCCTGCGGCTGACAGAAAGGATGCACCGAAGAAAGCAGCGGGTGAACTTCCGGTGACTAGCCACACGGCGAAGGCTATAGTTCCTTCAGGGTCATCAGAAGTCACTAAACCTAATGCATGAACTAAGGTGCATGCAGGCGAACCTCCATCATGCTAAAGCAGCATCAAGCTGTCTGAGCAGGAGGTTCATCAAAGAAGACCTCCACATAGACTTCCTTCAGGAACCATGGGCTTATGGCGGGCTAATCAAAAGTCTGCAGGTTAACAAATGTAAGTTGGTTTTCTCACACCTACATGAAATACCAAGAGCCGCATTGTGGCTTAAGAAATCCATAAAATTTCTTCCAATTCCAGAGTTCAGCACAAGGGATCTGGTGGCAGTGGAGGTTGAGGCTCAACAAACAGGTGGAAGTCGGAGGCTAATATGTGCCTCACCGTACTTTCCTGGAGAACAGAGCAATGCCCCCCAGAGGACGTAGAGAAACTCGTTACATATTGCAAACGGAGGAACAGGAGACTTATCATGAGCTGTGATGCCAACGCTCATCACAAGGTGTGGGAAAGCACCGATACGAACCCTACAGATGAGTGCCTTTTTGTTTTTTTATTACAAAATAACTTAGATACCGTTATTAGGGGTAACGAACCGACCTTCATAAACGCGATACGTAGAGTGGTCTTGGAGCTTACGATATGTAACCCCCTTGTGTCCTCTTTGGCGAGAAACTGGCACGTGTCTGAGTGGGTTTCCCTTTCAGGTCATAGGCATTTTATTTTTAGCTTTGAAACCTTTGGGGAAGGCTCGATGGATTCTGTAAGGGTACCTCAAAGAACTGACTGGTCAGAATACAAGTATAGGGTGAAGGAGGGGCTGGCAGAGGTTGGCGGGGATATAACATCGATCCAAAGACTGGACGAGGTCACCAATGATCTCTGCCTCGTACTTAACCGAACTTTCAAAGGAAGCCGCCCGGTCAGGAGACAAAGGGCTAAAACGGAGGTGCCCTGGTGGAATGGGAGGTTGGCTGGGTTGAAGAGGAGTGTTAGGAAACTCTTCAATAGCACCAAAAAAACTTCTGACTGGAAGAGCTATCACAGAGCTCTCACAGAATGTAACAATGAGATTCGCAGATCTAAAAGGAAGACATGGCGAGCCTTGGGACATTCAAGAGGTCACCACAGCCTCTCGTCTGCTTAAGGCGCTTTCTAAAGATCACACGAATGGCATTGGCATGCTCCGGAAGAATGGTGATTCTTTCACTGACAATGCCGAGGAGACCGCGATGCTTCTCCTTAGGACACACTTTCCGGACTGCGAGTTGCGGCAAAGAGAATCCCACGGTGACTGTGAGCTCAGCTCGGAGGGCGGAGGAGCGGTGAGAAGCCGGGTCAGGAGCCTGTCTGGAAGGATCTTTGACCGGCAGAGGATCAGGAGGTGGAGTCCTTCGAGCCCTACAAGTCCCCTGGTGGAGGTGGAATCTACCGCGCTATGTTGCAAGAGAGCATGGAGGATTTGGTTCCGCTCCTAACATAGATATTCGGGGCCAGCTATTGCTATGGGTACATTCCACAGAGTTGGAGCAGGGTGAGCGTGGTATTCATACCGATGGCCAATCGCCCTGACACTCATCCGAAGTCTTACCGGTCAATAAGTTTGACATCGTTTCTCTTGAAGTCGATGGAGAAGATGCTAGATGTGCACGTGAGGGCCACAATCGACAGAACCTCACCTTTGAATGGAAAGCAGTTCGCCTATCGGGCGGGAATGTCAACCGAGATTGTGCAGGACAATCCCACCCAAGAAATAGAGAGGACGCTGGAGGCCAAGCAGATAGCTTTTGTGTCCTTCCTGCATGTTGAGGGGCCCTACGACAATACCTCTTTTAGATCAATAATGAGGGCGGCTGCAGGCAAGGGAATTGAGGCACACATCCCGAGATGGATCGGGGGCATGCTGGGCTCCCGAAATATTACCGCCATGGTGGGAGGCGCCAAGATTACAGTGCGGGCCGCCATGCGTGGTTGCCCTCAGGGGGGGGGGGGGGGGGGTCCTATCTCCCTTGCTCTGGTGCATTGCGGTGGACGGGTTGCTGTACAAGCTGACTCATAGCGGGTATAATGTACAGGGCTACGCTGATGATCTGGTCGTTTTTGTTAGGGGCTAGCACGACGAAGTCGTGGCTGATCGAATGAAGGGTGCTCTAAACATCATACGGGACTGGACGCAGATAGAGGGCCTTGGCATTAACCCGGGAAAGGTAGTCATTGTAGCATTTACTAGGCGACGGAAATTTAGTGTGCGCCCGTTGCTCCTGTGGGGCACAAACATTGAGCCTTCCAAAGAGGTCAAGTCATAGTTAGGGCCACCCGGGCTCTATGGGCTTCGACTAGGCTGTATGGGAAAACGTGGGGTCTTAAACCTAAAATGGTCTACTGGACCTACACTACAATTGTTCGACCAATTGTAACTTATTCTTCTGTCATATGGTGGCAGAAGGCTGAGCAGGCGACGGCGCGGGCTGCTCTCACTCGTTGCCCATCGACACTGTTCATCGATATTTCAGGCTGAGACATATGCCATAGAGTTGTGTGCTCAAGAATGTATCAGAAGGAACACAAAAAGGAGCAGGATTTTTATTATGTCGGACAGTAAGGCTGTTCTCGGGGCCCTCTTGTCTGATGTAGTGGGATCAAGGCTGCTGAAAGAATGCATTGACATCCTTGGCGCCCTGCCCAGGCACAACAATTTTACCTTAATGTGGGTGCCGGGACACTACGGGGTGGGCGGGAACGAGAGAGCTGATCTGACTTTGCTCAGTCGTCCAAATTTGAGAATATTAGTGGGGGTTCTCACTGGACACTGCTCATAATATGTTCACCGAACATTAGTATAACAGGTAAATTGGTCTGATGTTAATTCTACATTGTCTTCAATATGCATATAATTTCCGTTGATAAAATTTCACATTTATAGGATTGTACTGCTTCAAGTAATTGTCTGCCTTTAGTTGTAATAAGTCTCGATCCCCAATGATTCTGGTGTGATTTGCATTACTTAAAAATTGTTCATATCTTCCTTTTTTGATTTTGTGTTTTGGTGGATGTTCGCGAATAATTGCTAACACTTTTAACAATTTAAATAAAAAATAAGTTTTTTTTTCTTTATAATTATAAGTTTATTTTAGAAAGCACCAAATCCAACAAAATTATGTACTCTTTTTTCTTTAAAAAAAATTTACTAAATAAATATCTTTATATATGTATTATATTTTCTTTTTCTTCAATTTTTTTCTTTTTCAAAAAATTTCACAATACAAATTTATTCAAATGTTATATATAAAGGTTGAAATTATATAATCCAAAGAATGATCTTTGTTTAGCAATACTTCTATTTATTTTCTTACTGCATTACACTTCTATTAATAGCTGACTATAACTCTACCTAAACTCGTCTATGACCATAGGTGACAGTTGGCAGCACTGAAATATAATGTTTGTGCAGAAATGATCGCTGCAAACTGTGACCCACCAGTTGTATTTACATTTTGATGTGAACATATGTAAGTTTTTAAAGAAACAAGAATATAATTTTACAAAAAAACGGAGATTTAATGTAGCTGGAGCCCAGAAAAGAAATGCAGAAATTGAAGGAAAAAACGGTGGAGGATGAAGAGCAACCGAAAAGTACTGGACCGGCACTTGAAGACCTCAATTGGACTGGTAGATGCATAACTGGAAGACATTGCAAATTCATGTAAGTATTTTATTGTAAATAAAATTACATGCTAAATCCAATATATTCAATTTTAGGTGAAGAACAAAAACCCGCTGAGTGGATTACACTGGATTATAGCAAGCTTAGATAAGTAGCAAAAATATTTTCTTTTATATCAAGTAGTGTTTCTTCGTGGTTTTTTTTGTTGTTTTCTTTTTAGGAAAAGAGAAAAATGAACTGTGACGTTATGACGGAACATTTTCCCGGCTGTGGCATCCTTGTTGAAAGATGACAAAACAGTGATGTGCTGATGGGTTGCTGGAGAATAAAAGGTGTGTTGCTGGAGAACAACGATATTGATACCGAATTAGCCACATTGTAATGGTAATTGGTACGTTTTCAAGTTTCGATTAAACGTTCCAAATGCAAATTTTACCCATCACTAAAGTCATGTCCTTTTAGGTCTTCACCTGTAATGAGAAGAGCAGAGGGATAGTAGGAAGAAGTTATAGCGCCTTATCTCGCTTTCCGGAAATTCAGGAAGTGGGAATTAGGAAAAAGAAAAAAGTAGAGGCATCCAATACAAATATTTCTAACCTAATCAACAAATCATTTCAAATTATTTGCCACATCACAGCGTCATAAATGAAAGTAGCTCAAAATTACGAGTGGTTTTTGATACATCCCGGCCTACTTCGAATGGTTCACCATTAAATGACAAAACATTAAAGGGCCCAGTCATACAGGATGATTTATCTACTCTTCTATTACGTTTTCGAAAATATAAAATTGCATTTACAACAGATTTGCAGAAGATTTATAGGCAAATCCGAATTGCACCACAACATGCCGATTATCAAAGAATAGTCTGGGGAGCTTCTTCGAGTCAATCAATTCAAGACTACAAATTAACTGCAGTAACATTTGGTACAAAATCAGCACTGTTTCTAGCAACACAAGTATTAAAAGAGTTGGCGATAGATGAAAAGATAAACTATCCTATTGCATCAACAAAAGGCATTGGAAAAACAATTATTGGACATGATAGCTTCGGTCGGATTCTCATTGTGCAAGTGGTCATCAAATGCAGCTGAGCTACTAGAAGCCCTTCCACAAGAACATCGAGAAATCAATTGGCCTTTAAAAATTGAAGAAGCTGAAACAGTCAGAACATTAGGCATGCAATGGGATCCAGCAAACGACCAATTTTCGTATAAAATTTCCCTACTAGAAAATGATTCACAGAAATGGACAAGGCGAACAATTCGATCCTCTCGGCTGGTTGGCACCTTGTATCAGTAGGTGAATTTTGTAGTTTTTAGTTTCTACACGTACCACTTTTGACTGTATGCCACTAGTTCCGATCCTACACGAGATATTTGTTTTTATTATTACCGCACTTCCTCCTTATACTGCATTTTCTGGATTGAGGGATAACATTCATATACATTTGACAAAAGATTATTTAATTTGCCTAATTAGAAAGAATGCCTGTATTTCACATTTGCGGTTGAGCAAACCGTTTGTATTCGAAGTCATTATCTTTAATATATTAGCCATTATTAATATTATTTAGTTTTTTGAATAGCTTTTCTGGTGTCATTCTCAAGCTTTTTAACTCGTTCATCTATCATCTTCCATGAGTCTTCCAGTTTAGATACTTTTTTTAAGAATAAGCTGAAGAGTTTGATTAATACTTAGACTTCCTTTCAGGCTTGGTTGAACAGGTTTTGATGCAATAACTCAAGCATAGCTCAGTTTGTTCTGTGTTTTTAGCACTTTTCCAAAAAATTTTTGAAAAAAAGTGCTTATTAGTTTCACTATGTCCGTCCGTCTGTCCGTGTGTCTATTTACAAAACTTCTACACCCTTGAAGATAGAAACATGAAATTTTATATGTACATATCTCCCCCCCCCCTCTTTAAAAGTTATACCCCCCTAAAACTCTAAAAATTCTATTCTTCAACTACTTATTGTAGTAGAACCATATGCATTTTTCAAATTTTGCAAACGCAGAAAGGCAGTGGCTTGCTTCTTCTTTCACGGCATACTATACCTGAACTTTAAAAAAACAAAATGGCCGTTAAAATTTTACGTTATAGAAAATTCGTTTTTTCAAAATTTTTTATCTCGTTCTTTTTCTAGACCGCAGGTTGTGGGAGCCTGAAATTTTACCAGCTTTTAATTATTTTTCTTAATTCACCCAATTAACCCTTAAAATCGAGCATTATGTCAACTCCTCTTTAAATTAATTTTTGTTTTATTTCAAAGGTTGCATAAATCATTCATCTTAAAAATATGCAATCCTAGAAATAGTTGCGTATAGGTATACATAGATTGCTTTTCAAAGCAGTATTTTCAATTGTTGAAGGGAAAAGTGCTACAATACAAACCATTGGTTTGCCCCAACTTTATTTTATTATTATTAGCCTTATCAGTTATTTTATTATTTATATGTTGTGCTCTTGCACTATTTGCGGTTTTTTGTTTTACTTTTTTGTTCTTTTCGTTTTTAAATTTTTGTAGCTGTTTAGCAACATTAAAAACCACAATTTACACATTTGGACTTTTGTTCTTTGGTCTTAGTACAATCTTTTGTTGAGTGCTTACCAGTTCATTTAACGCACTTCTTTAGAACAGTACCTTTGTGTGTGCCTAAAACTTTGGCCGTTCTTGCATTGAGGAATAATTGTACTACTTCGTGGTGGTAAGATCTCTACTTTACTCGCCATTATATTTGTTATCTTATAGATCTTTTAAATATTTTCACTATAATCAAATGTGGGCATACACATATTTAATGGTCGCTTATCTTTCCATGACTTTTTGTTATCTACTGATATTATGTTGTATATGTTTTCCTTTAGGAAAGCCACTATTTTTTTTGGAGTATGGTGTAGGTTTTGATATGTGTGATACTTGCATTTTTTTTATTAATAAATTTGACTTGTAGATTTTTTCCTGGAATTCTTTTGGTTAATGCTTCATAGAAGATGTCGTATAACTTAAATTCATGCACTATGATTGGCGGTGGAGTATTTTGTTTTGGTGTTTTTTTGGTTAATTTTTTTTCTTCCTCTTCTTGGTTTCTGGTTTTTCTGATATTTAGAGTTGGTAGGGAAGGGGTATCCTCTATTTTTCTCTTTTTAGCTCTTCTTTTCACCCTTACCCACTCTGTATCTTTAGCTAATTGTTCCTCACCAGTACAATATTCTAAATTTTATTGGTTATTGGCTTTTTGCCTTTTGACGAAACTCATCTAGGAGTTGCTGATCGTGTTGCCAAGTTGTTATTTTTTAGTTGCTAGATTAGTTCAATTTTTTGTTTTAGTAACAGCGTTATGCCACTGGTTATATAACATTTGTTCATTTTTGCTCAGTTTATTTTATTGAAGAAAAACTAGATTTTCTTGATTTAGCACCGCTTCAGTTGTTGTGCTCATGTTTATATTAGATTCGTGCAATAAATTGCTTTCCCCAGAATCGGTAGGGCATGTCTCCGAAGAGAGTGGATTCATCAATTCCTTTATAGACTTACCACCTGGAGTATTAAATCCATTTGTTTTACTCATTGCCATAATCTTCAATCTTCACGTGTAATCCTCGCCAGGGGCCCTTACATGGTAATTTATCACTTTGTATAGAGTAGAAGGCCTGCCTGAAATCAATAAACAAATAATGAAATTTGTAATTATATGCTGTGCTTTTTTCAATTAATTCTCTGATGGTCAGTTGTCTATTTTTCAGGCTTGAAATCAGCATGGTAATCACCAATAACTTCTTGGGTATATGCATTATACTTCTTGGGTATAGTCTCATGTTCAATATAAAAGTGAATATTTTTTAAACTACGCATAATGGTGTATTTCCTCTATAAATTTGGCAATCTAGTTTGCTCCTTTTTTATATAAGGGTAAAATTATACCTTTATGCCATTCATCAGGCATACGTTCTTCTTTCCAAATCTTCTTTAAAAGTCTATGTAATTCTTCTTCTAAAAAAATACCACCACTTTTAAACATTTCACCCAGTATTTCGTAAATCCAGCGGCTCTGTTATGCTTTGGTTTATTTTACACTTGCATGCACGTCGTGTTCTGTGAGCTCTTCGATATACACTTCAGCTGTACGAAATGGTTTAGGAATTTTTTTGTTTACAGATATTGGTGGGTAATTTCATTAGTATATGAAAACGGAGAGTCGAACTACTTTTTAAATACATACACTTTGGTTTAAGCATGCAAAGCGTCTAGTGTAATAGTTTGTGAGAAAGAATGAGGAAAATGAAGATGTCAGAATTCTCTCACTTTTTAAAACTTTTTCAAGTTTTGTAAAGTAAAATTTAGTGTTTAAAAAAAATTTTAAAACCATAAACCTGCCATCTTGCTTATGTTAAATTTTTCTTCAAAAAATTTATTTTTATCAACAATAATTGAATTTAAAAATTCTTCTTTGATTTTCATAATTACACAACGAATTACTTCTTTTATTTCCCTATCCTTAATTAAAACCTATTACTCACAAGCGCCACTCTAAAAAGTAGTTCGTTGCGTAATTACGAAAATCGTTTTCTGTATATTACTGTAAAAGAAAACCATTTATGTACATATATCAAACTTCTAATCCAGTGTAAAATTTTTAATTAAAATTATTGTCAATGAAAGTTTCATTTGTCAAAAAACAAAAGCTTAGCTACATTTTTTTTTAAATTTTAATCTTTAATTTAAAAAAATCGGGATCTTTATAGTTTTTAACTCTTTTGATTAAGGGAATTTTTTATATAACTAACGTACAAATGCTGGTGTTAAATCTTTTGATTTTAAAAATTTTTTAAACGAATAAACAAATATACCTATAGAAATACTTTTAATTTTGACGATTGCGGTTAGTGACATGCTTTCTGCAATTACATCACGCATTGATATTGCGTTTAAATTATCGATGTATACAATATTTTCCTCAAAAGTTTCTTCCTGGTCCTCTGCATTATCGTTATATTCAACCAGTTTAAATATATTCTAAATTGTAAATCGTATAAATTTTTTCAGGTTGATATTATAAGACGCCTACAAGTAGAAAAAATAAGTACATATTTTAAAATTTGCTAATTTTATGCTTAAAGTACCGAGTAAGGAACGAAAGCGGTATCAGTAACATATCAGTACTCTGCATAGAGCGAAAAAAAGATCTATTAAGCATTTTTCTCTAGGTTTATGAAAATTTCAATTTTCTTGAATCATGCTTTGACTCATAAACCAAGAAATTGTAATTTTCTTAAATCGAAATAAATTTTTCTAAAATCAAAATTAATTTTTTTGAATCATATAATCTGCAATCATAAAATAATGCTTTATACAGATCTATTCAATTCAGAAATTTTTTGAACAAAAAAGTTCTCTCCCTGAATTATTCTTAGAAATATCAGCACATAATTTAAGAAAAAGTTTACATGAATAAAACAGTACTTTCTTGACTCTAGAAAGCATTTCACGATTCAAGAAAAAATTTACAGAAAAGTTAATTAAAATCTAAATACTTTCTTAAAATAAGAAAATGATAAAAAGATTCAAGAAAGAACTTGCATAAAAAAAACAGAAAACAAAAAGTTCAAAAGTTCATCTACCACAACGAAGGTTCAGTTCAAAACGGAAAGTAAATATGTCAAGTTGAAAGTGGTTGCGTTTTCAATATTATAAATTGTTTTAAGAAACTACAAAGTAATTAGATTTTTTGTGAAAAGTGTTTGTAGAAGTAATATTAGAATATTTTTCTTATTTTTATTTATTTCATTTTAATTTTTAATCTCATTTAGATACAATTTTAAGTGACAAAATGGTTACGCCACACATAAATGGTTCTGGATGAAATGGAATTAATTATGGGATTGGCGTGGGTAAGTTTACAATATTTCCTTTTTTTAAATCATATTGTTTGTTAGGTTTATCTAATAACATACACTAAAAAAATTTAGTTTAAATTTAAAAACACAAAAATTGTCTTACAAAACCAAAGAAATTCTTTAAAAAAATTTAGAATTTAATTTAAAACAAGTTGAAAAATAAGCATTTATTAAATAAGCTTATTTTTTATAACATTTAAAAAATAAGCATTTAAACCAATGGTTTGTAAAACAGTACTTTTCCTTTCAACAAGTGAAAATATTAGCTTTTAAGAACAACCTTATACAATATTAAATTTTCTTTTATTCATATTATACAAAATTATACATAAAACTATTTAGGAGCAGCAAACAAGGAAAAAAATTTAGAAGGAGCATTGCGGAGCTAATGAGCTATTACGAAAATGTACGGTTAGGAAAGTGAGTTAAAAAAATAATTGTTAAGGAAATAACTTTTTAGTAAAAATAAGTTTAGATTGAAATTTCACCATTTCAACAGGATGTAGAAGCTTATATGATAAACAATTTGAAACCTATGAAGGCTTAAAAATTTGCCGTGTAGTTTTAATTCTTTTTATAAAATATTGACGAACATAGAATCTGTTGACCATTTTTATTGACATTAACATATTTACATTAAATTTCTTTTGGAGCGGTTCACTTTTATTCAACTGATCATTTTTAACATGGACTAATCATGAATAATCCTGCCTTTGTAAGTTTAAGATATTTTGTTGCTTCTGAAGACGGTTTTTGAACATATATATATATACATACAACTCAAATATAAACTTTAAAACAGAAAAAGGACAAAACGTGTGGAAAAGAGAACGAATTAGCAAACGCGGAAAGAGAAATATTGATTTCTAATGTTATTCAATTTTTTATAAAGATAAATATAATAAAATGTATATAAAAATGTAATCATTTAGTTTAAAGTTTCGCTTAATTGATTAATTAAGTCACCACTTCTATTAGTAATAAACATTTTTTAAACAATTTGATACTTATTTGCAAAGATATATTATAATTTAATAACATAAAAAAACGTAGAAGTACATAAATGTGAAAATGTAATGTAAAAATTTTAAGTTTAAAAACGTGAATAAATTTATAACAAACGTTTCAGCTATAAGTACGTATATAAATAAGCTATATTGATAAAAATAAAATGGAAAATAAAATATGTATATATTTATTTTAGTTGTATGTTAATACAACTGAAAAAAAGCTAAGTAAGTTTTTTTTCATTTCTTTTTAATTTCAGAATATACAGATAACCATTGAAAGCATTTATTTTATAAATTACATACTTGATATTAATAAATGCTAAATTTATGAATAAACAATGCTTATCATCTACAATCCACAGGATTCTAAAAACCTTTGCCCATGAAATAAGCAAAAAATTTTTGTTTTTCGAAAACCCTTTATTAATATATATATTGCATGGTCTAGATTCAAGCGAAAGAGTGTTTGACTTTATGTTATAGTCCTAGAATGATTCTAGAAACCTTTATACTTCAATTGAAACCTTTGTACTTCAAATCAAGGGCACAATTGCTAATATTCTGCAGTTCTCACAAATGGTTTCAGAAAACTTTACACTTCCAATGAGCCAACAGTCGCTAATATTCTGCAGTTTTAAAAAATGATTCCAGAAAGCTTTTTACTTGAAATTAGCAAAGAGTTACTTGTAGTCTATGATATTATTAATATTTTAAGGAAGTTTTTTCTAATTGCAAATTGCTAAAATGCATGAATTGTGAACAAAAGTTTCTTTAATTCTCTGTTTAGCTCTTTTCTTAAATTAAACACATCGCACGCTAAATTCAAGGAAAAAATTACTGGAACAAACAATTGTACTTATTAAATGAGTAACATATACGAGTATTAACACAAATTGTGAAATGATAAATTCACAAATCTTGCAAGTATTACTTGATTTAAGAATTGATTTAAATTATGATAAAAATTTTCTTGAATCATATTTACCATTTTCTAAGTTCAAAATTTGGTGTCAAAACTTCATACATTAAACAAATTTTCCGCAATATTGGCCACCGTCTCTTTCTCTTACTCGTCACAGTACAGAGGTGATTTTCAAGATAGGCTCAACCTCCTACCTTGTTTGTCAACAAGACAGTGTCCCATTATGCCGCCTACCACTGTTCTAATGTACTTGTCGGTACAGAGAGGCATCAAATCCCTGGTTTGACGCAAATCCAGTCTGGGCACTGATTTTATTAAACACAGTCCTCTGATTGTGATACATGTAGTTCCGTTCGTTCACCTGCAATTGGATTGTTCAATTCAATGATTTGTAAGTATACAAAAATATTTCAAGTTCTCCCTTTCCAAATAGAAAACGCTCCTTGGGAGTCCTGCAGTTTCCTTGAATTCCGCTTTGTCCCGGAAACAAAATCGGCTGAATTTCGATTTTATCCACTATATCATTGAAAAGTGACTTCCACGCTTGGACCGTTCTAGACGTAAACGTTTTTGATTCCAATTCAACGCCCTTATCGCTCCCTGGCTGTCGGTGAAGATGTTGGTTCTGCAGGATATCACTATGCCGACTAGCCTATGCGTAACTTCGCTTGTCGCAACCAATTCCGCGTGAAAGAAGTATAGTCTAGTGTCCCACCCCAAGTAAAAATTTCCAAGAGTAATACTCTAAAAAATTGACCAAAAATTTCATAAAACTCTCATACCACACTCGAATACTCTCATAATTATACCCGTACGAACGTATGTTCGAAGGGTATACTAAATTTGCCTTACCGATGGTAACGCTAAGAAATAACGGTCTGCGATATAGACTCAAGTGTATGTTTTTAATCAGTGTCGAATTCTGAGTTGATTTAGCTTTGTCTGTCCGTCCGTTCGTCCGTCCGCCCCAGCGATAACTCAAAAGCGAATTGAGCTAAGCTCAACAAATGTTCACGGTTGAGTCATTGTAGTAAGTGCCAGAACCCTATTTAATTGAACATGATTGGGATACTGGTTCGCGTAGCTACCATACAACTTTAAAATTTATTTAGTAATCTCAGAAACTATAAAAGCTGTGGTTTTGAAATATATTATTATTATTATTATTATTATTATTTATTTATTTTCCTTATTTTAAAGTTACAAAATTCAAAACTAAAAATAGTTACAATTTAATATGTATAAAAAATTACTTAAAAATAAAAAATAAGGATGGTCCCAACTATTGCCACTATAAGGGCAAGTAACGAAGGGCCATTATATCAGAAAAAAATTTTAAATTATTACAAAAATTCGTTTGTGGTGGGGATCACAATTAAAGCTAAGCAGAATTCAAGTTATATTTAACAAAAAAGAAATAACAAAAAATTCAAATATTTATAAAAACAAATATAAGTAAAAATTACATAATAGTGAATAAATTCTTAAAATTTAATAATCTGAATTCAATTTATAAAATTCATGTTAATTCAATTCAAAACTTACGTTATATAACAAACATGTATAATTTATTAAAAATCACATATAAATTTATAAATTTAAAGCTATATAGAAATTTTGGAATATGCATCAAATTAATCTATTATTCAATAAAAATTCAATATCGTTATGGTCGAAACCAAATAACCATTTTTTAAGAGACTTCACAAAAACGGATAAAATTCGAACACTCCTGAGATCTACTGGCAACAAATTAAATAATTTGGGCGCAAGTAATATATAAAAACGTGAAAAATGAGATAGTCTAGCTCTTGGAACAATTGTCATATTCATATTATTAACTCTAAGGTTGTAATTAGAATAAAACCTCTGCACCAAGTAGCCAGACCTCATGAAAAAAACTTTTAAAGATTTAAAAATATATAAATGACGAAGAGGAAGAATATTTAAATACTTAAATAATGGAAAACTAGGTGTAAATCTATTTTTTTTTAGTAAAATTCTTATGCAATGCTTCTGGGCAATCCAAATAGGATAAATCTTATTAATATAAGATCCACCCCAACAAACAATACCATATTGAAGCTTCGAATTAAAAAGTGCAAAATAGGCCATTTTTGAAACATTTACAGAACAATACCAATTCAATTGAAAAAGATTTCTTATAACGTTCCTAAAATAATTATTCAAATAACGTGAATGTTCCGACCAATTCATTCTTTTGTCAATATAAATGCCCAAATATTTATATGAAACAACACTTTCAACTTTAAAACATGATTTATCACAAATATTATCATTATAATAAGAATTTGAAAGAATAGGAAATTTACAACAGCCAGGTGAATGAAAATACAAATTACAATCAGTAATAAAATCTTGTGTTAAATTAAATATAATATATTTAGTTTTGTTACTCATTACAAGTTTATGAGAAAAAAACCAACTTCTTATTAAATTCAGATCAAAATTCAGAGCCGCAGTAACCTCCATCAAATTTTTTTCACAATAAGTGAAAGCAGAGTCATCTGCAAAAGCAGTAGCTTTCCCCTTAAAATTTTGATCAAGCAATGAGTTTATAAATATAAGAAACAAAATTGGCCCCAAAACGGAACCCTGTGGTACTCCACATTTTATTTCAGTAATATCGCTCAAGACATTTCCGATTTTAACCCTCTGTTTCCTATTACTAAGATATGAACGAAACCATAAATAAACAAAGCCCCTAAAACCAGCATTATAAATTTTTTCCAGTAACAGATCATATGAAACAGTGTCAAATGCTTTGGTGATGTCAATAAACAGGGCTGCACAGGAATAACTATTATTTATGCCTTCATAAATTTCGCTGCAAAATTTAAGTAACGCATCCTCTGTACTTAATGTATGGCGAAACCCAAATTGGGAACTGCTAAAAAACTTAATTTTATCTAAAAATTTAACAATCCTCGATTTCATGCCTTTTTCAAAAATTTTAGAAATAGTTGGTAAAAGCGAAATAGGCCTATAGTTATTTGGATCCTGTGAATCACCCTTCTTAAAAAGAGGAAAAACCTCAGCGATTTTTAAATCATTTGGAAAAATTCCTTTATATACACTTAAATTAAAAATATAGCACAAAACATCAGAAATAAAAAAAGAAATTTGTTTTAATAAAACATTTGAAAAAGAGCCAGTAGAAACAGAGTCTGAATTTTTTAACCCCCTAATAATATTATTTATTTCCATAGACGTAAAAGGCTCAAAACCAAAACTTTTTCTTTGAAAAACGTCAGATTTCAAATCTAAAACACTGAAATCGGAACTATGGACCCTTGAATTAGACGATAAATTTACACTTATATCAACGAAAAAGTTATTAAAATAATTAGCCAAAATTTTAGGGTCATCAACCAACTCATTATTAATAGTTAAACAAATATCCGATTTAGCACAGTCTTTGTTAAGAATAGAATTTATAATTTTCCACTCCTTTCTTGAATTACCTTTAGAAGTCACAAATTTAGTTAAATAATAATTATCCTTACAACTTTTGATTTTTTCCTTTATGAATTTACAAAATTTTTTATACCTAACCAATAAAAATTGTCTAGTAGGATTTTTTTTAACTTTTAGCCTTAAGCTATTTCGTTTCTTTAATAAAGTCAATAGCTTATTCGTCATCCAAGGTTTGAGTCTCCTAGGTGCTCTTCTATGAATAATATTACTAGAATTACTTATATGAAATTTTAAAGTCTCATAAAAACGTAAATAAGCCAAAGAAGGATCATCAACAGCAAAAACATCATACCAAAATTCAAATAATAACCGGTTTCTCAAGTGATTATAATTAATTACAGGTCTACTATTATAAACAGATTGAAAAACCCTACCATTAACAGTGCAATTCGGTATAGTTAAACTCAACATACAATGATCCGTAATTCCTATATCTAATATATCTGCAACAAAATCGTGTTTATTATTTCTGTGTTTCCTAACAAAAAGATGATCAATACAAGAACCTGAAATTGGGCGAGTGGAAGCTGAAATCAAAGAGTCAAAACCATAAGAAGATAATAAAAATAAGTAATCAGAAACATCGTTGCTTTGACGCAAAATATCAATATTAAAATCACCTAATAGTATTAAATTTTTGGAATTTTCTTTTGATAAAAAGTTGGC